ATCCGTGCTGCGCCACCCGGCCAACAAGCTGGACAGCGAGGAAAACCCCAACCCCCTGGAGGAGGACGCCGGGTACATCCAGCCCCAGACTGTGCCGTGGGATGCAGACTTCTTGATAGGCATGGCCACCGTGCCGGAATGCAAGTCGTTCAGAAACATCTCCAAGGGCTCCATCTACATCCAGGAGCTGTGCAGGCAGCTGGATAGAGCAGCACGGAGGTAAGAGGCCCCAGCACACTCCTCTAGAGCAGTGTTTTTCAACCTTTTTTGACCCAAGGTAACTTTCTTCATTGAAAAAATCACGAGGCACACCACCAACCAAAAATGTCAAACAAATCTGTAGCAAATCTATAGTGACACTATAGTTATTCTTATCTTATCTTAAGTGTCTTGAATAGGAATCAAATGAACACAAAAATGTATTTTTATCATATTTTATATTTCTTCTTTCAAATTGCTCTTAACATGTCCACTTCAATAAACAAAATTATATACAAAATCTAGTCATAAGGAATTATTACATGATTATGCCACCAGTCACTTATTAAGCACAGACACTCAAAAATGGCATAATATTTGCAGATAATTAATTCCTTATCAAAAAATCTTTTTAGACCAATTAGGTGAAATAGGATGATTTTCTACGGCACACCTGACCATCACTCGCGGCACACTAGTGTGCCGAGGCACAGAGGTTGAAAAACACTGCTCTAGAGGGGGGGGGTCCGGTAGTACCCGCTCAGCCCTGCTCTACTCTACTCACCTGAAACGGTTTTCCATTGAAAATGAGGTCCTAACAGAAAGTGATGTCATTTGAATGCATCACGAGTAGGAAACGAGGAAATGGAACGAGCGGCTAATTTATCATTTACAACTTTGATATTCACAGGAATAACAAAATGGCACCTTTATGGCCGCTGTGGTTTTAAAATAGCTAAACTTCTCATAAAGGAGTCGCCTTTATTACTGGTATGTCATGTGACTCCCTGGCCAACAGCGGCTGGCAGCCTGCCTGACTGAGCATGCTCAGAAAGCCCAGCCGGACACGTCCTGTGAGTAGAACCAGCCACTAGAGTAGAGTGGAGCTGAGCAGGTACTAGAGGAACCCCCCCCCCCGGAGCGGACACCTTTGTTTAAAGACTTTTTCTTGCCTTTTGTGCAGCTCGGAGAACGACGATATCCTCAGCGTCCTTACCCGCGTGAACCGGGAGGTCAGCAAGGGAGAGTTTCTAAACCACAAGCAAATGCCAGAGCCCAAGTACACCCTCACGAAGAAGCTGGTGCTCAAATATGTGAGACCTTGAACAGTGCTGCCCGCACGCCACATCGTCAAGTGTCAAAGACCGATTTCCTGTTTACAGCGTGTGTGTGTGTGTATGTTTGTATGATTCTGCGTGTCTGCGTGGTACAAGAGGCAAAATGAATTTATTTTTCTGCGTTTGTGTCAATCAAATTAGGAAAAATTATATCTAATAAATTTTGGAATTTGTCTTATTGGAAATCCGTTTTGTTATTCAAACCCTTTTGAAAAACAAACAAATAGGAGGAGGTTCTTTTCCCCTCATGGTTTAAACAGCACTAAACAGGAGATAATCCCAATTTTTACAGCTTTTTGTCAGTGTCAAGCCAACACACACATACTGAAATGTAAAAAAAATTGGAATTGAAGTATGAAAATGTGGGCATTTAAACTGATGGTACTTTTGTGGTTCAATCCTGAATTAGTTAATCTTGGCTGGAATGAGTAGCTCATTTACATGTTACCAAGTCCTCATTTTCCATGGGCCTGTCGGACACTTTGCAAGGCTTCTTTGATAAATATTAGATACCACTGTGTAAGGTCAATATAATCTAATGGTGGGGGGCGAAAAAACGCCTTCCTGGGCGGAGACGGACACTAAACATTTAGTTGCAACGCGCCTTTATCCGGTAACTTGACACGCGCCTGTTGAACGTGAGTCAGCGCCTCGCGGGCCGGGTCGCTCCCTCCGCGGGAGTGTGTCTGACAGATTCCTCCGGACTCCACCCGACGTCCGCCGTTCCAGGAAAGCCTCTTCACGTCCCCCTACCGCTGCGAGGTCCGGGACGGACGTTTGTGTGTTTGTGTTTGTGTTGTGGTGACACACACAAACCGGCAGGCCTTCGAGCAAGTCCGGGGTCGTTTGTTAAAAAGCTAAATTACTGTCGGATGTTTACCAGTTCAGAAGAGCGCAGGGCGTAGCTGACAGCCGGAAAACAACTAGTGTTTTTCGTAGTCACTGGGAACAATTACTACGACCACTTGGACGCCACGTAATTAGGTAAGTTGGGAAAATTTTTTGTCAAAATGTCGCCCGTATGTCAGCGTCGTCGGGTTTGGATTCGACCGATTTTGGAGCGCGAACGTGAACGGGCCTCTGCTTGTTTGGGACCCACCTGAATGGGTTTGGTCGGCTTAGGTTTGTTCATCCTTCCCCACGAACAGGCTGGAGCGGAATGCCTTCTTTCTCTGTGTTTTTGGCCGTCGGCGGGATGATTAAAAGAAAAGAAAAGAAAA